GAGAGAGAGAGAGAGAGAGAGAGAGAGAGAGAGAGAGAGAGACAGGGTGTCGCTATGCAGTTCAGGCCAGCCTTGAGAACTCATTATGTAGTCCAGGCTGGCCTTCAACTGGCAGTGACCCTTCCCAGTGCCAGGGTTATAGGCGTGCAACAACTCATCCAGTGCACACTGGAACTTTTTTTTTCAGAAGGCATCTCACTGCATAGTTCATGATGGTGTCAAACTCACTATGCGGTCACTGTGTAGTCCAAGCTGGCCTCAAACTCAGCAATAGTTGCACCTCGCCTCCAAAATTCTGGGATTGTCCCAGACATACACCACCATGCCTTCTGAATTTTGGTGGTGTTTATTCATGTGTATAAACTTGTCAAAATTCAACAAAATGTACAACTTAAATGGGTGTATTTTATTGTATGCTAACTATACCACATTAACGTTAACTTTTAAAAGAATTCTTAACATGGAGTATAAAATCTCACATGATCAGGGACATCCCCTTCAATTGTTTTGACAGGGAAGCCAAAGTGTTATGCTCAGAAGTCTGGTCTAACCCTGTTTGGGCACAGAACTACTTCTAAGATGATCCATTGCAAGTCTAATATTCGTAGAATGAAACAAATGGTTCCAAGTATCTAAGTTTAAATCACATAAAACTAAAAGTAAACCATGCTTCCTTGAATCCTTTAGAAGCAATGATGGCCTAGACCCAAATTTTCATAGGTAATCTCTTGAACTGCATCAGATTCTAACCTAATTCTTTCTTCATACCAACACTGCCTAATCAGGACCAGTGTCTCCAGATTAACATCAACAGCCACATACCAATCTTGTTTCTACAGTTATAAGAACCTAGTGTGGCTTCAGACAGCGGCAGAATCTGTTTTAAGGTAGAGTTTTAATTTCAGCTTTTGAAAGAATTATCCATATGGATGTTAATTTAATTTCTCGAGGTTTGAATTTTTTTATTTTTATTACTTCAGCTAAATGCTGATATGTCTTCATACATGGATCAGTCAATAATCTATTTGCCATAGCTTCTCATACTTTTTCTTTAATATATATTATAGCACTAAAGTTAGCAAATATCTTATGCATATCTAAGATGCATTTACATCAGTTTTACATTTAATAATGCTGAATATTACAAGTGAATCTAATTTAATCTTTAATTATGAAACAATCTCATTAGCATTTTGAATGATTTATTACTACACAAACTTTCAAGGTACTCATTACTCAATACTAGAAATTTTCAAAATAAGAAAATAACATTTAATAATTCACCTTATTTACATACATACATACATACATACATGTGGAGATATTTGAGACATACATGCATAAGCTGGGGGAAAGCTTTTTTCCAAGTCTTCAAAAGGTAGAATTCACTTCAAAATAAATTACAGTTATTAAAAAAATGACAGCCCACTTTCTATACAGTTCCTTTACTATTCCTTATACTATTCCTTTACTATATCTGAATAATCCTTTGGCTCACATGATAGTGATAATCTTTGATAGAACTATCAAAAAAAGGGAAGAAGCAAAGAAAGCAGGATGAAAGAAGGGATGGAAAGGACAGAAGGAAAAAGTCATATAACAAAATATTAAAAGATGCTGAGGAGACTGAGTTTTAAATATTGCTCATATAATGTTCAGTACAGTATGTTGCAAAATAGTCCACAGTAATAAAAGCTGAATAATCTTATGAAAGATGAAAACAAAAATAATTTCAAAGTATGAGGCCTGAGCCATGACAAAATTTTTTAATATAAAAGTTGAAGAGGTTTCTACATTTGGGCAAGTGAGACTATCAACAGAAAGCATGTAAAATGTTTACATCATTCAACAGAAATTCTATCCTGGTTTTACAAAACTGACACTGTTAGAATTCAAATTATTTTTCCCTGTTACTTTCTTTCTTTACTACAAAACAAAAACTACATGTTACCTATGAATACTGCCTAATTTAAAGATGTCATATCTTAATTTTGTTCCTTTAATATAACAATATATATATATATATA